TCAAATTCAGCCATAACTATAGAAACTATAGATTGTCCTCTTTCCTCTACAGGAGGAGGGCCGAATGCTCCAAAAAATAAGATTATTTAGGGGGAAGAGAGTCTCAACTACGTGCTAAACAGCTCACAAAAACACACATATGGAAATGGCTCATACTACAGACATGAATGTTATCTATGCAGGCCAAGTGATGCAAATGTTTTCTTACCAGCACTAGCTCAAGCACATGATCATTGTTTTTCTACAGATCTTTCCATCAACAGTGAAGAGACTGCCTCATTTCATCACATGGCCCTAACAAAAGAGCCATTTGAGACCCGGCTCAATTTGAGCTAAAGAGAAGCATGGAGAAATTTCACAGCACTTCCCAGTGTTTATTTTAACCCTTAAAAGAATGTGCAGGCTGTCTCGGTCATGCACTCCTGCAGTCTACACGGTAAGATCTTATTATGTCCTTCAGAGAAGACTTTGTAGTATATTCTTAACAGGCTCATATAAGGAAATGGAGACTGATGGTTGTTGCGGGTTTTTTGGGCTCTTTGGCCGTGTCCTGAAGGTTGTTCTTCCTGACGTTTCGCCAGTCTTTGTGGCCGGCATCTTCAAAGGACTGGAGTAGGAACTCTGTCCATGCTCTGTTGCTGAGTATTTATGGCTGTGGTGAAACGTCAGGAAGAACAACCTTCAGAACACAGCCAAAGAGCCCGAAAAACCCACAACAACCATCAGATCCTGGCCATGAAAACCTTCGAGAATACATTGAAATGGAGACTGTTAATTAACATATATTGATTAAATAACTGTCTTATTTATAGGCCACTTTTCTCCAATAAGGGGGAAAACAGTCAGGACAAGGCTTGAAATGGAGACTGTTATATATTGACATATATTGATTAAATAACTGCCTTATTTATAGGCCACCTTTCTCAAATAAGGGGGAAAACAGTCAGGACAAGGCTAAATGAACTTGTCAAACCTCTTATCACCCATTTTATTGGACCTCATTAAGTTCATTTTATTTCCACATCAATTTGCAAATCCCATTTGTTTTTCAAATACTGTTCATTTCCCCTAAAATATGCATAGTTATTAAACTCTTTTCCAAATATAAGCTTTCCCCTGAATAGTAAAGCGGGTGATGCATATATCATCTTATGAACATCTTCTCTGAAAATAAGCTTTTTGTGTACATTTTACCAGTGGCAAACTTAAATGTAATATTTACAACAGTGCAGATTTTGGAATACTGTACATTCACTACATATTCATGCATAACTGAAGAATGTGAACATGAAACTCTAAGATTATCAGTCTAAGTTGAAGGGAGGTCAATAAAGGTCAGAGCAGGTAAAGAACAGTCTGGGAAACCTAACAAGGCCCTCTCTGTCTATCCTCCCTGGGCAAACACATGCATCTTTGTTGATAGCTGAGTTACACCTATTTTCCTCCAGCAATTTGCATATGGGCTACAAAGGATGAAGGTGATGTCTGCATCCATACATGGACTGTGAGATAATATCAACTCCAGGCACCTGTTGTAACTGCCCATTTTTGAAACCTGAAACAAAGCAATCTGAAGTGTTTATACGGGTCTCTCTTATTCCCATGCTGTCGTGTCTCTCTCAGACACAGGCACATACATACACAGAGACAGCACAGAAAGACAGACATACAGACACCTACCCCTACATTTCCATGTTTCTAACAATCAGATTTGTTTAGACAAGCCAGTGAAGATTCACTTTGAACACAGATGTCTGAAAGCTTTGACAGTTTCCTCATACTGCTAAGCTTACGGTAAATTAAACTTTAAAAGGGGGATAAGTTCATTTTATCAACACACTTGCAGGCAGCAAAAGGAAAGGCACAAAAATAATATGTACACCCAAAGCTAGGCATGAGAGACTTGATTCAATATGCAACTATAGATTTTTTTTTAAATCACCATATTATTTATAATAATAACAACACTTTGTAAAATGAACCACAACATCTGACATCCCTAAGATATTAAAGTTTTGTAAACCATTCTCTCATTAAAACTTCATTAAGACTTAATACTTTTAGATGAAGTTACGTATGTTTCTTTTATTTTCCTATTAGATGATGGGTCCATTTGAGGTAAACATGGAATCACCACTAGATAAAATTTGTAAAATAAAGAGCAAATACTGTCAAGGTAACTGCAGGCTTCTTCTGCAGTTGACTGCTTGTCATTTTAAAAGAATAAACAGAAGAGACAAAGAGATAGTCCCTTTAATTGAACAATTTCAGCATTATTGAAAATGACAATGGAAGGCCAAATTTAAGTCCCATGACAAAAGCTTAATGTTGATTTATTTGCTCATTCAGACAATCTTTGTTTTTAGGATAGCATCTTCTTAGTTTGTTATGCCTTGTTATTTTACATTGTTAACCATATTAATGTAAAATATGGAGAGCTATATTAAATGAATGAATGAATGAATGTAACCACCCACAGTAGTGCTATGGCACTACTGGAGAGGTATATTAAATGAATGAATGAATGAATGAATGAATGAATGAATGAATGAATGAATGAATGAATGAATGAATGAATGAATGAATGAATGAATGAATGAATGCATCAGCCCTAAGCATAGTGCATCAAGTGGATCCTTTACATACACCCATGTTATACTTTTCCAATCCCCCGTGTTATTATGCACAGTATGGGCAATAAAGGTTCATTGGCTTTCCAAAACAGCTACTTCCATGGGAAATTAAAACTGCTAGATCATTTTTGTTGATATGAATCATCACAAAAGCCTGGGACTTGAATTCTTCCTGCAGGTGTAGCAATGGAAACTGTCACAATGATGAACTCCCACACTTTCAAATTTATCACTAAATCCACTGCATGGCAGGCAGGCAGGCATACATGATACTCTTCACATTGGAAATAGCTATACCAATTGAATTTCCCCCAATGACCTTTTATACAAGCCTACCAAATTTCACAAATTTCTTCATCAGCTTGAAAGAAAGAAAAGCCTTGAGATTGTAGCAGTTGATTTGGTGGGGAAGACATTTGACCATCCAAACACAAGAAGCTACCCTGTTTCCCTGAAAACAAGACCTAACCTGAAAATAAGCCCTAGTATGATTTTTCAGGATGCTTGTAATATAAGCCCTACCCCAAAAATTAGCCCCAGTTAAGTTAAACCCTGCCCTCCACCATTGTGCAGCAACCAGAAGATGACATGACTGTATTTGAATAAATGTTGTCCATGAAAAAAAATTAAACATCCCCTGAAAATAAGCCCTAGTGCATTTTTGGAGAAAAAAAGAATATAAGACCCTGCCTTATTTTCGGGGAAACACGGTAGTGGTGAATCCAAGTGAAGACAGGAAACCGACGTAGGGATTTGAGGAGGTTTGAGGACATCAAAGTTGGACAACAGGAGACCAAAGAGGAGATGACTGCAGCAGTTCTGAAACTTGCACTGCACTCTAGGTTCAAGCACAGGACAGAGCAGGTACAGGACAGTCTAGAAACCCTAACAAGGTCCCTGTGTCTATTCTCCCCATATAAATATATGTGACCAACAATTAGCGCATCAGCTACCAGTGATTTGTATTTATTTATAGGCATTTTGGTTTGGGATTTACCACTTATGGAAAGCTGGTGAGCAGGTAAAACAGGGGATTAAAAGATACACTAAACATTCCAAGTCTAAGATCCTGCCAAAAAGTCATAGATAGATAATAACTTGTGTCTAAGAGTTTAAATTCTTAATCATTATTACTCAAAGTGCTATGACCTACAATGCACATATATCACTTGAAAGCCCCTAGTGTGTACCTGTGGGTTTTTTCTACTGTAGCCCAAATGCAGCACTGCCTATGACAAAAACTGTGGGAGATCAAATCAAAGATTTCCTGAAATAATAAGCGATTTGATCCCCAGTGGGACACCTGAGGCTGTTTCAACACTTTCACTATGGCAAAGCATATCACAATGGAATGTATTCTAGGATGCACAGACAGGATCATGTGTATGATGAGCTATGGTGACATCTGCTGTCAGCACAATGATCACGTACACATCATTAATTGCACTCATTTGAGTGAGACTGCTCAAGTTCTCCTTCTGTTTAGCTTCTTATTTCCAGAGCCATTGTAAAAGATCAGTCCTTCATTGCCAGTAGGTTCAGCCCCAAGGGTACATCTGTCCCCTTATATCCTAATTTTAGATATTCTCATCCCAATGTTATCCAGGAACAAAATATGCAACACCATTGTAGTCGATTCTTTTGACACTCATTCTGAGGAAAACACAATCTATAACCTTTGATAGAAGGTTTCTTTGTCTATCTACTTGAAACAGATACAGAGAATATGATTATTTCTCACGGGATTGTCTATCATGAAATCACAAATACAAGATGCCAATATGTTTTGCTGTGTTTAGAGATCCAGTTAAATTTTGTTGCTCTTTAAGCTATCTTACTTTCTACCTCATAGCACATCAAAATACCTAATTACAGTAACAGTTTCTCTGAATGAGAGACACATTTCTCTGAATGAGAGGCACATTAAATAACTTGTTTGGCTCATATGTGCCCAGATGGTTTGCACAAGCTACCTTTTAAAGCCAAGGGGTCCAATTATAATTCAACTGACACATTCTGAAACCAGCAATCAACTGAACATGCTCATTAATTTTTGCAGTTTCTAATTCCCAATAAATTTTGCTTCCTCCAAAATGGAACAGTCAATACATACATTTCAAAGGGCCAACTTGCGCCAATGGGTTGTGTGGCCCCTTAAAGATTAACAAACCTATTACAGCACAAGCTGTCAGGAAACCAAATCCACTTCATTGGGCAGACTTAATGTTACTCCAAATTGACAATGCCACTAAAGTCAGTGGAAACTGCAAACAAGCCTGTTTGAAGGATTGCAACTTCAGACTCATACTGAAATCTACGTGTCTGGAAAAGGTACTCGTGTATTGCCTGTCCAATGGATCTGCTTACCAATAAAGTAGAACCACGAAGATCACCAGGAAGGCCACTGTTGCTGCTGTAACATTCATCTCCACAAAGCCAAGTCTCAAGAAATCCATAAGCCCCATTTTCTTTTACTGGAGAAGTAGGCTGACAGAGCTGACCAAGGGAGCTCTCTTTGGTGAGGAAATGAGAAACCTCCCGTTGTTATATGGATGGCAATCTACAAGAGAAAAGCAAGGAAGTCAGGATGCGTCACACTTACTCCAAACCAGAATGCCAATTTTTTTCCTGACACTGCTGCCTTACAAAGGCAGAATGAAGGGTTTCCTGCATCAGAAAGCCAAAGCAATGCTCTCCACCCCCTCCCCATATTAATGACTGCAGTGTCAATAAATATTTACATACTTGCTCTCTGAGAGATCAGAGTTGGCCTGCAGGTTTTGCAGTAAGCAGTGAATAAAAGATAAAGACCAGCTATGCTCTCTTATGCAATATAGATTTAGAAGCCCCGAGGAAAGTGGGCAGGAAATCAATGGCACTTCTTTGTTTCCGTTTAAGGAAAATATGCTAGGCATTATGAAAACTTTGGGGTTATACTGCCGATTAATAGAAATGTTGCTTGACAGGCAGCTGTATAAGGGGGATACTTCGTGGCTTAAGCATCAGGTGGGCAGTTGGAGGGTAGGTTTTCCTCCCCACAGGTCCATTAATAAGCCTTAGCAAGGTTCCTCTCGAAAAATAAAGAAAAATCATTCTTCATAATAATAGAATCCTCAGCAACTGATTAGGAGGTTAGTGAAAGTACAAAGGTTCCTTAGATTGAGTCAAACTACTTACACATCAAGCTCAAACAAATTATTAACACAATAGGACAGTGTTAGATGTTTGCTTGCTTACCAAGAGCCTTTTCATCTGGACACACAGGGGACTCAAGGGGGACTTCCGGCATATAAATCCTGTGCTCTAGCCCCACCAATTGCTAAGGGGGTTTTAGGCACAGAAGTGCAGGACATTATTGGTGCCAGAGAAGGCACCAATATATTGTGTTGACAGCAGGATTCAGCATTCCGTAAGCCAGCTGAAAAAACTAGGGTACCACAAACAAAAAAATATAACTATGAAACTGGACCTCAGATCAGTACCACATTTTGCATGGATGCAGCAGGAATTCTGCTCTTGTTTATTCCCAAATGTGGGGGTGTTTGGGCAAAGGGGTTTTGGGTTATGATTTTTTTAAAATGTAACATTATTTTACCCTCAGGCAGAAGCAAGTGACCTTGACCTACAGCTGATTTAAAACTGATCAAATACATTGAAAAAACCAAATGTACATACCTTGAAAGAAAAAGATCAGTCCATGCTGCTTTTTATATTCTAAATGGACTGAACTTTTGACTCTGCCATTCAGAGGCCATTCAACGCCTAAAAGAAAAAATTAAGCTGCTTCCTGGCTAAACATTTAATTCCTTCCTGTGAAAATATCCTGTAGATCATCTTGGCTGCTGCCTCTGGTGTTGTCAATATTCAGGCTGCCCTTTGCTATGTAAAGCTTGGCATCCCTTTTCCTGCTGGCAATGTGAGCCCAACACACTGGTCTATTTTTTAGAAGTCATCTGCTTCCGAGATAAAATGTGCTATTTATTATGTATTTTGATGTACTGTACTGGATTAAAATATAACAATTAAAACAGCTGATTGACCATTGTTTCCAAGCTGTAAGATTTTACATTTTACATCTATGTATATTGTGGAGATAGTAGAGTTTTAATCATAAATTGTATACCTAGATCTTTTCATGTGTTTATGGTTGTTTTACATGATAATATTTCACCTGTCCTGTTTATGCAACACTTTAAAAATCAGCAAGAGTTATATAAACAAAATTTATTATGAAACAAAATGCAAAAACTATTATGTCCATAATTTAGTCCTCTTCAATGTCTACTATTTCTTGGCTTGTCTCTTATAGTCACTAAATAAAATATTTCTTGTCACTGTCCAACAATAGTCTGCAAGCACTGATGGGTTCCATTTGCCCTGATAGTGTTTCTCCATTGTTGCAATGTTCTGGTGACATCGCTCACTGTGCTTGTCGCTCACTGCTCCACATTTCAGTGGGGAAAAATCTAGATGAGGGTGCAAAAAATGTATCTTTAGTGATATGCTGCAACCAAGGCTTTTGTATGCCTTTAGGAGGGTTCCCAACAACAACTTGTAGTTGTCTGCCTTTTTGTTTCTGATAAAATTTATTGAGACAAACTTGAAGGCTTTCCATGTCATCTTTTCCTTGCCAGACAGTGCATGGTCAAATTTATCATCTCCAAGAAGTTCACAAATTGGAGTACCAACAAACACACCTTCCTTTATTTTAGCCTCACTTAATCTTGGAAAGTTTCCACAGAGGTACTTGAAAGCTGCTTGTGTTTTGTCCATGGCCTTAGTAAAGTTCTTCCTCAGACCCAGAGTGGCAACAAAATTGATTTAACAAGGGGTAGATGTTGAACCTTTTTCCTCCCAGGCTCGAATGACTGTCGGAAGTAGCTAATCTATTCTAGACGTAGTAGGAATCTCTTGCATAACTACCCCATTCACAGGGAAAACAGCAGTACTTTGTGTATCCAGTCTGCACACCAAGCAAGAAAGCAACCATTTTCACATTGCCACAAAGCTGACAGTGATGTTGGTTATAGTTTATGCACCTCAAAAATTGTTTTATGTTGTCATATGCTTCCTTCATATGGGCTGCAAGACTAACAGGAATTGATGGCAAAACATTGCCATTACACAGGAAAACAGCTTTAAGACTCTTCTTCGATGAATCAATGGACAGTCTCCACTCATCTGGAATGTGAATGATGTTGAGGGCTGCCATCAAAGTGAGGCATCTCTGCTGACTTTGGTTAAATACAAAATATGTCTCAGCAAAATCAAACACTGACAAATAAGAGAGCACAGCATTGTAGGATTTCTAGGGCAACTTGTTCACCACAGTGATGTACGCTTCGGTATGATTGTGTCATCCATGATTTCTAGGAATAACATGATGCAATTCATATTATGTATAATGTAATACCAGCTTCATCATCCTTCACAGATTGTTTCCTTGTTGTGGCGAAGGGGCTTGAGTAATTCAGAGAAGCTATGGGCTATGCCGTGCAGGGACACCCAAGACGGACAGGTCATAGTGGAGAGTTCTGACTAAATGCAATCCACCTGGGCCGGGTGGGTGGGGCTCGTTAGCCTTGGAAGGCACCCCATCTAGAAGAAGGAAAACTCCGATTTCAAACCTTTGTGGCTATATCCACCGATGGAAAAGGCTTCAGGAGTCAACCTCGAGGCAAAATCCGGAGACAGAGTCCCGGAGGCAGTTTGTGTCATTCTGGCAACTCCTGCAACGTCACTGGAACCAGTTGTATTGCCCCTTGCCTTTCCATTGGACTATTTCAGAGATGTCGAGAGGGGGGATTTGCTGCTTGGGTAACAGCCTATCCTCCATATTATTCTACCCAGGCTTTGTGCTCTGGAGAGGACACTCATACAGAGTGTGTTACCGTGGTCTTTCGAGACTGAAGGATGCCTAAGAAGCTTCATTATTCATTGTTTTGCCTCAAAAGCAAGCAGGGTCCAAACCCAGTCATAGATTTATTCACAGATCCAGTCAAAGATATATTTTAGCCATTTCTGGTTTAAATTGAGTTCCCTTCCTTTTATAACTCACTTATCCTCCACCATTCCCAAGTCAAGGCTTATATATGCTTACCCAGTAGCAAATATTGAAAACTGGAGCCAATCAGCAATTTTAAACATCATTTTCATTTTCAGTGATGCAGAATTAGCAAAATTTGAGTACATTTATTTCAGAAGCACTTTGGCTGTAGACCAGTGATACTGTGCAGCAATACTGGGCCATTTCCTGGCTTTTTGCATCATGGGTACAAAAGCACAGTATCCTACATTCATAAACCAGAGGTTTTTTGAAGATATCATTTATAACTTTACAACTTCAAGTGAACATGACTCACTCATTTATTTGTAATATTTATACACTATGCCCACTTTCCACAAGAAGCTCAAAGGATATTCCACATTGCCACCTACCTATCCCATCTTTAGTCTGACAACAACACTGTGAAGTATGCTTGATTGATCATGTCTGGTCCAAGATCACCTCCTGATCATCATGTCAAGTGGTAATCAGATCTCCATAGATTTACTGCAACACTCTTTAAACTACCACACCATGCTGATCCCCATACTACATCCATACTGTACAAAAACTGTATTCACCGTGTCACTTATTCCGCATCCTAAATTGGCATGATATAAACTGTTAAAGGCTTTGTACAGTGGGGTCTCTACTTAAGAACTTAATCCGTATTGGAAGGTGGTTCTCAAGTTGAAAAGTTCTTATGTTGAATCTGCATTTCCCATAGGAATGCACTGAAAACCATTTAATCCGTATCTGCTCTTTTACGTCCATAGAAACTACAGTGGAACCTCTACTTAAGAACTTAATCCGTTTTGGAATGGTGTTCTTACGTTGAAACGTTCTCAAGTTGAAGCAAAATTTCCCATAGGAATGGACTGTAAACCAATTAATCCGTTCTGGCTGTTTTTTTGTTATGCAGAGGTGCGTTCATACATTGAAGCATTAGTTCCCATAGGAACTAATGCAAAGCTGGTTAATACATTCTCTACCACTAGGGGGAGATTTTTTTTTTTAACCTAAGATGACCTAAGGTTAAAAAAAGAGCAGGAAAGGTTTTTTTTCCTGTTCTTATCTTGGATTTCTGTTCTCAAGTAGAAGCAAAATTTAGCAAATGGAGCTGTTCTTAAGTTGGATTGTTCTTAAGTAGGGACGTTCTTAAGTAGAGACCCCACTGTATCACCAATCCAAAGGGAGACTGCAGAGAAGAAATCATAAGGAGTCAGACTTGGAAGAGCAACTATGAAAAAAATTAGGAAAGCTCTTTAAATTCAGGATGTATTGCCGGAAACAAAGGTAACATAATGGTATTCCTCATTACTATGTATGGATGTGAAAGCCAGAGAGTAGAAAAGGCTAACAGGAAAAAAATGATTTAGTTGAAATGTAGTGTTGAAGAAGACCTTTACTGATACCATGGACCATCAGAAAAATAAATAAATAGGTTCTGGACTAAATCAAGTGATCTAGTTAAGTCGGATTGGAAGCTAAAATGACTACCTACACAAAAACTC